TATATATATATATATATATATATCATAGTGTAATAGTCTCTTAGATCGATTTCAGTATATTCTGCAATCCTAATCCTTCCATTCTGCCCAACCATCTAACACGAAATCTTGACTTTGGCTATAATACGCTCCCCATGGGAGGCATACTATGCATTCATTGTGATTGCATCGAGGTAAGGAATGGCACACACCCAGAGATCTTTAAATTAGAAAACTCTTGCCATCCGCTATCAAAGGCGAACTGCATAGACTAAACGGAATCTATACCCGTACAGGCCTTCACAAGAAAACATGGAAAACCATCAGGTATTTGCGTGGAAAATCCTCGTTCGTGTCTGGGATATCAATAGACGTTTAGGAGCTAATTGGAACATNGGAACATTTAATAAAGGAACTAGAAGCAGTTCATCAACAGTACAAACGCCTATCTTATCGGTTCAGAACCATTCACTTTTCAATAAGAGGATGTTTTGAGGTTTTCAGTTCTCAAACTCAATAAATCACCCAGTTCCGATAGACTGGAGGCTAACATCCTTAAGAAGCGTACTCAGACGTTCACCAGTGCTCAAAGCTCTGTTTAGCCGGTACTTGAAACACGGAGATCTATCTTCATTGCAACGGGGCCCAAAAGATCAGCCTAACAATGCCGTCATAGTATTATCATTTTATGTCATCCGTCCCTCGCTTCTTGATTCGCCGTTTTTTTGCTCACACTTAGCCCCCTTGACTGTACTGATCCCCATTAGTCCTCCCAGAGATCCTCGAGAGGCTCGTTTAGCTACTCTTCAGATCCTCAACACACATCCAGAAGTAGTGGGAAATACCTCGTGAAATTATGCTTTACTTCATCACTTCAACATGCGCAAACCATTTCCATCCGTTTCACGCAAATCTTACAAAATGTGCATCCTCTTCTGCCGCCGGATTCCACTACCTACCGGTCTTCTGTGGTGTCTTATCTTACCCGATTTCTCAGGAACCGGGAACGCATCACTTCTGGACTTGCTCTCTAGAATTCTGGTGTAATAGTAGTTACCTGATTGAGTCTACTCTGGCCTTGTAGCTACTGAATATTCACCTTTCGGAGTGCATAAAGCATGTACTTTTCTTGAATTCTCCGTAGAATTTGAAGTTGGCTTATCCTCACAGAACTGCCTTGTCCAAAAGTAACATCGCGTAAAGCGAGTACAGTGTTTGGATGAGAAATTCCTTTTGTTGACTCCAGATGGAATAAGTGCGACAAACATACAGATCCATAGCAAGATTTTTTAATGGACGGCATTTTGTTGTTGCGTAAATCCGAATTCTCGTCGTGTTTTATACGTTCGTTTTTCTTCAGTTTGCTCGTGGGTGTCGTGCGCGCACGTTGGATGAATTGTTGAATGTTGAACCTCGAACGATACCATTCGTTGTTCGAACGGGTCAGGGCTTCCTGGTTTGATTGCCAGTCTTTTATGATCGTGTTCCGCTTTTTCGAATCCCATTGATCCGTATCCCACTATGTATTTTCGCACTTATTCGTTGTTCTATTTTTCCGCGTTCTCGAGTAATGCGCATAAACATATTTCTGTTATTGTTACCTTACCCGTGAAGCTCACAGTAAGCCATTTGCTCTGTATTGTTTTATTTTGTCTGACATCAAATGAGTTATGATATGATTTCTCTATGCATTAGATTCACTTCCTGCCATGTTTGATTGGGTCAAAAGTCCACACATATTTCGTTTACCTTCTAGAGACCAGTTCAAAACGTTTGCTCACTTTGTTAGTGTGTAATCGATCGTCAATCCATGAGAGTCCTCAGCATCATTGCATCGCACACAATCAGAGATTTTCCACTTTGTTGCAGACCGTGCCCACTTCTGTTTGATTTGTCTTTCCTTCTATAAATTTAGGATGATATGAAATGGAGAATAATCATATACAGTCATCAAATGAATCACCACTGTAATTTCTTTTAGATGTGGTACACATCTATTCGATCATTAACAAGAATCGTTTGATGGGTAGATGTAATTTAGTCACATTGGGGGAGGGGTACTTCAACTGACAAACCACTTGGATTAACTGTGCTCGATCTCAGCAGCTCGACTCATGTTTCTTTTGTGAATTTCGAAAACACGGACGTTTAGGAGAATTTGAATCAGAGTTTTGTGTTTCCCTTTGGATCCAGATAGATTCAAGGAATACGCACTTCCAACGGGTCCCGATAAAATAAATTGGCTGTACAGTCTATCCACGACTCCTCATAGTGAAATAGCCTGTCGATTTTCATTGAAAACCTCAAATTCCTTTACAGCTGACCTCTCCTAAGTCTCTGAGGTACTGGAATCATGTATTTTCACAGAATTAGTGAAAAAATGGGAAGCCTTTTGCCGGTGCATGCGTACCTGCAATAGCGGTCAGGCACACTTCGTGAACTCACTCGTGGTTGTAACCACATTGTAGAGTTTTTTATATCTGAACCCCGAATACTACACTTACCGCTCTTCAGTTCATACTGATCTCGGCGTACAGCTGAAAGATCAAACACCACAGATGCTTCATTAAACGCGGAACGCGTATTACAGTCATCACCTTTGTTTAAGTGTAAACGTCTGCTTTGCTGAACGATACACGCTATTGGATATCCTACTTTTTTCCAATCAACCAGTTATTGATATAAACTGAGTTGCATCTACCATCACGCCTTCCACTGAACAAAGTGATAGGTGAGGGGAAATACCGAAATATTCCATTTTCACTGCTTATCTATCACTGCTACCAAAACCATATCCCAATTCAGGCATTTACGCTTTCAAATAAATCAGTCTCTTTTTACTTTACCCGTACACTTTCATTCGTTTCTTTAGAATTTTGTGTTCCTCAATCACACTAGAATTTTGTAAATAAAAACCTTTTAAGGCAGTTGCGATCATTGCCTTGGTATTCCATATTCGTTAAATTGCTTTATTTTTGAGATTTTTCGCCTGATTATTTGGTGCATTCCGATTCTGTAGAATGGAAAATATTTTCTATTTAAAAACTTATCTCGATGAACTGCTTACTCGTTTTGACCGTTAATTGTCACGTAATTGGCAGCCGTCGAGCAATGTTCACGTAATCCCCTTTTCTCATTAAACTGTAGTGCAACTCCCCGCGATGCTGTCATACTGACGCTCCATGATCGCAATTTACCCTATCTCTTGCATGCGACTAGATGAATGTCTCATGTTTTGCTGATTCTAACTCCGTTTATTCGCGTTTTCAGCTTGGCTATCTGACTGAATCTCTACTGGAGTCAGCTCGGCGTTCTCCGTTGCTTGCACATCAACTTTTGTGGAATATCAATACCAACATGTATTTGGATGAGGATGGAGAAAAAATGGATCCAGATATTGGAACTCATTTGGCCACTATTCGCCAGTTGATTATACGCCACTTCACTGGACCGGCTTTGGCATTCTACAAACGGGAATTCGAATTCTTTGATCAAATCACAGGGATCTCAGGCACAATTCGGTTGGTCACTCGCGTTCGATTTCCCCTATTTTTTTACATTCCGTCGAGCTTATTTCGCAAATCGCTTTCGTCATCTGGTTTTGGAGGTCTGACTCTCTCTCTTGTTCCTTGTCCATTATTCTTCTGCTCTTTTTCTACCGTTCTTACGAACTTCAAATGAATAATAGATTACGTAAGTGCCAGTTGATGTGTGTGAGTTTCCGTGGCTATATAGGCGACTGACAGGCTGTTTCCTACTCTCTTGTTTGCTTCCTTCGTCATCATTTAGTTACTCCGTCAGATTTACCATCGTTTGATCTTTTCAGTCCGTGCTGGCTTCGGTGAATATTGCTCATTAAATGCATAGCCTTTTAGACCTCAACCTGGAGGACCAGAGACATCCACTTCACCTATTAGTTGTGTGCATTTCTTCATGTCTCGTCTTCACATCATCTGGTGACCTCCACCTAATTTCCTCCGGCCTGGGGCGGTTCAGTGGACAACTGCAGAACATACACAATGCGTGTCCTAACCAGCCAAGTGTAGTAATCTGAATTTGATGTCCTAGAAAATTTATCCCTGATAAACTCCCAAACAAATGACGGTTTACTCCTCACATTACTAACCCGTTCACTCCATCCCACGTGATTCAAACTATGCACTATGCAAGCGATGAATGTCTTCTACTCGTAAATTCAAGGTCTCAAAACCGTAAAGCAGAAGTGCCCATACAGTGGCACAGTGTACACGACCTTTCAATTTCAGTGAAACGTGACGTGATCGCCAGATATGCTTCAGTCTTGCGTACGCAGCTTAAGTGTTGGAAATGCGTGTGGTTACCTCCTTCGTTCCGTTACTGTCATTGGTCACGCAGCTACCTAGTTAGGAGAAGCGACCTACCATAACTGATTCCTGACCACTCAGTTCCATATGAAACTGGTCGACACCCAGACTTGCAACATCACTTTGCACTTTGTAGATGCAAAGCGCATAACTTATGGAGTAACACCGCGTTTTAGTCTTTCAAGTGCCCTTTGCATGTCCTCTATACCTTCGAATAGATGTATGATGTCATCGGCGTATTCTAAATCGCACAACGTTTCCTCAGCTGCGCAATCCATACCTACATTTCAGAGACCACTGAATGCGTTCCCCGGCATTTCATCTGCGACGAAATTGATCAGGAATGGCCAAGCAGTGCACCCTTGACAAACTGCTGTTGACGAAAGACCTGCTTAGTTCGCTATGGACCCCTACTCGATCAGAGGTGTGTGACTACAGTGACCTCAGTAAGTTAGCGTACATCTGGCGGATTCCTGTTCGAAGAAACGAACCCATTAGAGCCTAGCGGTCAACTGAGTCGAAGACTGGTTTTACGTCAACGGACGCTTCGATCTTTGGTCGATGTTGGACATGACGCAGCTCGACACTGACGCAACGTAAACAGTTTATCAATGCACCTACGATAGGGTCGGAATCCGACTTACTATTCACGAATGTTGGTCTCTCTTAAAGGAGTCAGATATCGAAGTATGATAGAGGCTAACATTCACTCACCCACTCACTCAATTGCTGTGATTCATTCTTGAAATTGGGAATGACTATTGATTCGCCCAAAGATGTTACGGTGCGCTGTTATGACCATTCCACCCCCATCTCCTAAACGGTAGAAGGAAGTTCGTCCGGTCCTGGTGCTTTTCCGCTCTTCAGAGCCTAAATGCAAGACCGCACTTCTGTTTCTTCTGAGAAATCATACTTCCTACGGAGCTTCAGTAGCAGTTGACTGAATAGCTTCAGATCAGCTGAACTGCTCGCCAAAATACTCCGCCAATTGGTCAAGCCATTTTTTCCTATTGTGAATAGCTTGGTCGGTTTTATGGCAGATTATTTTAATAACCGGGGTTTGCCCACCGCCAATTACTTGGGAGTCTTTGACTATTTCCTAAATCAGCTGCTACTTCCATTTCGCTAGCTATTTTTACCCACCAATTTTCACGGTCTTCCATGAGGCTCTTCGCAATCTGATGTTTCAGAAGCCACCTACCCGTGTTTCGATGTTAACCGTCGGAAGTTCGTCGGTTTTACTGCACCAGGGCTACTGACTCGTGAGATATCCAATGCCGTGGACCGGCCTGAGACTCGTACTCACAAGCAAAATTTGCTACAGAATGTATTTCTCAGTTAATCTGATTCCACTGCTTATCTACACCATCACTTTGAGGTGCGCTTAGCTCATGCGGGAACTATTGTGATCGATATCCGATGATCCACTAACCGATTTCACTGGTTTTGTCAACTACCAGTACTCCGGAGTGTGAACGTTAGCGAAACCCTTGCGTGGTCAGACTCAACGCAGGTGGTCCTAAATGACCGGCCATTTTGTACCAAGCCACGCCAACGGTAACCTTTTGCTATGTGGTCGATTTGAGTTAGCGTGCTGATTGAATTGGCGCACCAAGTTGCTGTCTGTTGAGAGCTGTTTGAAGTTTTTACTGGATCAGAACAGATGGTGGTTCGCGCAGAACTGAAGAAATCGATCCCTGTTGTATGTTCACTGACAGTGCAGAGTACAATTACCGCCTAACATGCTTCCGGTGCGCTCAGTTTTCCAACTTGTGCATTAAAATCACCTGCAAGCACAACTGTATCCGAGCTTCGGCTCAAAGAATCAATTCGGTGTTTTTGTCTTCGAAATCTTCCTTTTGTGAGTTTGGACTGTGGTTAGTCGGGGCCTAAACTGAGATGATGAACAGACACCTTTTGGTATTGTTGCCCCCCCCTCCCCCCAGTAGCTGACCCAATACGTTTGTTATTTTAATTATCCCACCAGGTCTGTGCATTGATTGAAAAATATGACAATGTTCAAACATGGATGGTTTACGCTATTATCTAATGTATACTAAAGGGTTTTGCAACTTACGTTCAACCAACTGCATCTATACTTAGATGTACTAAAGCATCGGTCGGAGGGACACCTAATGTTCACTTTTACTAAGTATAAACTGAACTGTTTTATTCCAGTCGTTTTTATTATCAACAATGTGCATTAAACTCGTGTCTTCTGTCTCTTTCCTCTGTACCCGTTGATAGGGAGGCACCAAAAGGACCTGCTCGTCAAAAAGCTTGCTTGGAAGCATTACGTCAAATAGCTGTTCGTCCAGGCTGCTATTTGCCATCCAATCCGGACGCGATTGTCCTTGAGATTGACTACCAATCTGGTACACCAATGCAATCTGCAGCAAAAGCTCCATTCCTGGCCCGGTTCAAGGTATTCACCACCTCGCCTACATAATTCTAATCTATCTTGGTATACGATTATTTGCTTTGTTTTGTAGTTAGAGTCTGCAAGTCAAAAAATCGGGTGCAAGTATGCTTGACATTTTCATGCATGCTCAGTGGACATCAACCGGATATTAGAACAGTAGGGTGCGGAGTTGGAATGCTGTTATCCATTTGTTGTTCAAGTTGGCTTTTCGATCCTAATAAATGAAGGTACAATGTTAACACTGACCATCACCAATGCAGCAGGGTATCCTACTCCTTTATACTGCTAATTCCACCCCCAGACCCATTTATTGGTCTAACACTAACTTCTTATGATATCTATTCGTGTGGATTTGGTCCAGATTTTACTCAGTCAGATGTCTCCAGCAGAATTCAGTGCGAAATACTTTCTGATTTGGATGCCTCTGGACTCATTCTTTGAATACCAAAGGAGCCGTGTAGACCGAATAGTTAGCACTACGGTCCTTATCTGGTGTTGATTTATTATTATTATTATTTATTTCTGACCGAAGGGAAAGTGTAACGGGCCTTATCGGCCCACTTATAATCCACCTTTTTCATCATGAAATAGCACTGGGTGGCGTGAATACTTAGGGAACTACTAGTTTTTGATCAAAACTGGAAGGAAACTTGTTTGGGCATTTATGCTGACACACCGATGTGTTACCGAACGCATTATGCGCATCCGAATAGAAAGAAGCCCCTCGGTGAGGACAGCTTGTTGGTCAACGATTGCTCTGCAGTTGTGCTTAGTCCTTCGGTGAAATGCACATAAACTGCGTTCATTAATACACAATCGAGGAAACTGCAATAGTGCATACCATATTGGAATCGTAGTTCTGGATATCCCGCTTTTTTATGTCCTCACCAAGATTGCGGACTCAGTTCATGTTTGTTCCACACGTCCTCAGTTTATTCTTCTCCAATTCATAGTGTACAAGATGTCAGTAAAAGAGTAGGATGCGTAGCTGTGATATAAGATTGTATTGAGAAAACGAGTCGAGGAGCGAACAATTGTTTTGGATATTCCTAGTCGTGCTCTTGCATATCATCTAGTAGAAAAATGCCTACATAATGACAACGTAGTATATAGGACCCAGCCCAGTGCTGAATCCGCTCGTAACGCTGGTAGGAAGTTGATTCTAGGCAACGTAGTCCGAGTTCTTATACCACTAGCATCGTCCCTAAAGGCCCCCCAATTCCTGGCCCCTCACCGACACTCAATGCATAGGTAGGACACACTTCCAACAGTAGGTTCTGTGTGGAGGAGCTTTCAGACAACCTGCAAGACGGAAAATACAGAAAACAACCATGAATCAGCCACGGGTTCGGTTCAAAGTCATTAATCGGCGGTAGAAGGTAGATGTGTGTGTGTAACCTTCTTCCACCTGGGTCAGGGGCACGTCATGTTTTCTTGTTGTTCACACGATGCCAAAGTAATTGAGGCCTTTGAATCAGAGGTTTGGGGGATAGTAAGCGAATGACGATCGCCTCGGCCCGGGTCTGTGTCCATCTCGGGTAAACTTCGATCAATTGAGTAGTGTGTGATTGACAACATCGAAAGCTTTCTCCAGTTTGACATGGTGTCCGGTGTCTACGAGATGATCCACGATCACACTTGAGAGTGAGCAGGTCTTCCCCTAATTTATCCTTCGTGGGTGGTTCACCTTGACTCGTTGCCGTGCGAACTATCTAACTTGCACCACAAACACTTAAAAGAATAATTTACATGGAGGAGGTCAGTTTCACTTGCATTCACATCACCGGTGTTGTGCCGTGCGATCGCTTCATCGTTGCACATCTTCTTTTCCCTTTCATCCGTGACCTTAAACAATTAAATTTCCTCTGATCCTCTCTGTAATCTCATTGGATAATTTTCCGAGAATTGCGCAACTTGGAATCCCTCAACCCGATACGAGACTGTTGCTAGCGATGGAGCAACCGCACTATAGAGAACACCGATCTAAGTTAGGCTGCGGGAAAAGTGGAATTTACAATCGCTCCCTGTGGCTTTACTAGGCTTTCAATATGTGAGCTCCCCCTATACAGAATCCTTATGAATTCTTCTTTCTTGGTGGTACGGGCGAAGCTTTGAGTTTCTAGAGTGAGCCTAATTTTCTTATCAGCAAACTTCCGGATAAGTGTTGCCCTGCAACATTTGGCGGACGAAGAATAATTCTTCATTCGGCGTCTGCTGAACCGGCTTTTCGGGTTCTGAAGGCTAGACACTGGACTAAATTACCGGGACGAAACTATGGAAGTTAGAAGTTGACCATTCCATGTTTTCTTTCTGTGGATCTGTCTTCTCATGGAACCATCGCCTCTTATGGACGCAGCCCGTTTCAACTTATACGGCTAAGCCCAGTGATTGGTGTGCTTTGTTAAACAGTTCCAGCGTCTGTAATATGCTATTTTTCCGATGGATTACACAGAAGGCATCATCCATATATCTTTCGTTGTGTGCCAATCCCTCAGTAATCGAGCTCATTGTGGCCCCTTTCAAGTTTAGCCACATATACAGATGGCCTTATTTTTTTAGTCCACTCCTCACACAGCGAGTCGCTGCTGCCTTACCATAGCAAGAAAACAAAGACTGAACCACACTGATGATTCTACATTGCTTGACCGTGATACATGCGGGATGTTGGTCAAGTTTTATATAAGGTAACTGTCTCTGTAGGACCAAATGAGCGAGCTTGTTCCTTCTAATGCGGTGACAAGAAAACTGTTATCCCGGTTACCATTACCCGTGTTGCATCACTGGTTAATTTTATCTGTACACGAGCTTATCTTGATCACAGCGCTGTATGATGTTTTCACATGCTACTATTTCAGTCTAGTTTCGCGCTTTATGTAAACATGGTCATGGGAACATCTCGTCTGCCACCAGTATGAAGTATTTTTAGGCAAACAGCCAACTAAAAGTCTCCATCTTCACAGGGACCTCGCGAATCTGTTGACTTCTGAGCTGCTCATAGATGGTTATCATTTAATCAAATTTGTTTAAAGGTCCGACGAAATCTCATTATCCATGTCAGTATGGCTCAAATCACCAATATTGGAAGACCTTTGGTGGTAAATGGGTACGGATTCGATAATCACGCTGGTTTTTATGTGCCGATGTATATTCACACTCCGTGGATTGCCTCGCCGTAGGCATTGTTCTCGTTTGGTACAACTATTAAACTTGATTTCCATATTCGATATTGCAGTTCTCCTCGGTTTTGAATAGGGCAACTACACCTGGTCGAGTCGTGTGTCGATGTCACTACTAGAATGTCCACTTGCTGCCGCACTGATTCCCAGTATGCATTACTTGTGGCAGAAAAATAGTTGAGATGATGTAGGACATGATTTATTCGTAATGTTTTCCGTTTTTTCTATTCGAAAGGCCTAACATTTGTATGTATTATTCAACCTATCCTTAGGTCCGCCGGGTCGGAGTGCGTAATCTGGAAGCGGAGGCAATCGCTGCTGCGTCCGATGAGTGCTCTCGAGATGAAAA